TATCCTTTTTTTGAGACGTTGGGCACATTTGGAGGCTTTTACAAATCTACAGAACCTTTTCGAAGGGTTCTGTAAAACTCTTTTTTTTTCAGAGCATACCCCACACCCACACCCTCCTTGACAAAGCAAGAAGTTCTTATAACAAAGTGTGCATGCCCATTCCCTTAGACTTTAATCAAGTTCAAATCCAGAATAAATAAATAATATATTAAAAGAAAATTACAAAATACTATGATCATTCAATTTTATTTATAAGTAATTAAGTATTCAGCATAAGCTTGAGCATCATGATAAGTGACAAAAATATGTTTACCATCAGTAGTTGAATCGAATCCAGGAGGGCAAGTCGTCATTAAATTATTACCTATAGTTGTCCTTCCAACTAGAACTCGCGTCAAGAACATACTTCGTTCTCCATTGACGTTTCGGTCTGCATAATCGTGACTATAAGCTGCATTTGATGAAAAATATACGCCGACACCATATCGTGTTCCTAAAGATAAAAGTGTTATCAATATAAAACGGACCAAATGAGACATAAATTTACCATTGACTCCTGCAAAACTCCGATTGAAACAACTTTTCACGATTTTATCAGCTGCCTCTTGAGGGCAGCCATGATACAAACGTTTTTCAGTATCTTTATCGAGAATTCTTTTGAAACTTTGACTATGTGCCAAGTATTGAATATACCATCGTTCATTTTGAATGCGTTCTATTCGTATTATTTGTGTATATTTTCCTTTCATAGATAGATTGAAATTAGTTACGATTGATTGATATTCATCTGCTGTATTCGATAACTTAAAACGTATTTTATTTTCTGTTAGCGTTTCCCATGTTGTAGGACGCTGATAATGAACCGATTTCTTAGTATCTTCTAAAATTAAAATTATTAAATCTTTGGATGCTGTTACTCTCATTAAGGAAAACGTAAACCTTTTCATGATGTGTTTTTAACATTCAGATGATCTATTCCTTGATAACATCTAAATCGGATATAACTAATCTTGCTGATTTTCTTTCTCAAAACAACTGGTAAACTAAAAGTCATTAGGTACAACAGTTTTTATCTAAAAACCAGAGAAGAAATTGGTTCCATCTTGTTTCTACTCAGCCTGAATGAAAAATTTCTGAACTGAATCATTCTTTAAAAGCTGATAATTTACTCAGTCTATGCTGAAAAATTAAATTTAGCTGAAAAAGAAAAGTTTAATTATACCATTTTGTGTTGCTAACACTTGTTTACAAAATTCGTCATAAATATTTTGTTGACCAGACTGTATCACGAATCTCACTGTCAGAGGTAGATTTCTCATAGTCAACTGGTTTTTCATTTCTTTCACCATTGTCTTGACTACAATATCTACAGAACACTCGTGTTGCCCACATCCAAGAGCTGGAAATGCAAACGACGTGAAGTTATATGATATCACATTTTGTATAACATTCCAAATTAGATCGATAAGCGATTGTCGAAGTATTGTCTCATTTTTATCAGGTTGCCATTTAACAAAAAAGATTCGTTTGCAAGGTAAGGCACCCGGTGGTGTTGAAATTAATATAGCATTTGGATTGCTCTTGTGTTCGATATTGTATGAAGTCTGAACTTCATCGCCAGCTACCTTTATAATTGCTTGTTTTAAATTTTTCGATGATGAGCTTCCAATAATAACGTCTACCTATCAAATACAAAGGCTGTACACTTATTTTAATATGGAAGGAAATTTCTATATATACTCTTTCTGTTGTTATATCGCCCATCACAACTTGAATTATCCCTTTTTCAACAGGTACATTTATCGTTTTTGTTGGTCCTTTCAGTGGTGGCGATGACCAGCGTTTTCGGGCTGAGGATCGTGATTGTCGTTGTGCTGAGGAAGAGTGTTCTCGTGCTGAGAACTGACGTCCTCGTTCTGCTGAGAGCGAGCGTGCTCGTTGTGGTAGTATAATTGAATCTTGTGATGAAGACGAGAGTGATGACCATAGTGATGTTGATGGCTGTAATGCATTAATTTGCTTTTGAAACTCATCGTAAATATCTGTTCTTTTTGTTTCTATGATAAAAGAAACTGAAATTGAATACTTCTGTAACTTTTGATGCGCTTTTTGAACCATCGCTTGAGCGACAAGACTAATTGAACATCCAAACTGACCACAACCAACAGCAGGGAATGCGATGCTTTTGTACTTTTCTATCACTGCCACTTTTATTGCATCAGAAACGAATTTTTCAATAGATTGTCGAAGAAGAGAAGCATCAGAATTCGTTTTCCATGGAAGGAAGTAAATCATTTTTGCTCGGAGCTGTCCCTCAGCTTTAACAGCGATGACGGAATATCTCGGGTTTTCTTTCGATAGTGAATCGAAAGAAGTTTTGATAGAGTCTCCACCAGCTTTACAAATAGCTTTAAATAAATATTCTGAGGAAGAACATACAGCAATAACATCTGTCTGAAATCATGAGAAAATCTGTTCACTATAGATAGAAATCTTGTGTAAATAGTTTACTTGTTGCATTGTCAGATCACCTTTGCAAACATTAATCGACGATTCTGCATCCTGCAATAGAAAGCAGTGTTTAAGCATCATTTTTATCCACAATAAGAATGAACCTGAAAAAAATCCACATAGTCAATTATGAGGTGGTTAACGTGCTGTATTTGTAAACGATCTCAGAAACGATGCTATTTGTGATGTATACAATTAGGACCTGCCTTAGAGTGATTAGAATTACATCATAGTTTCTATCATTGAGTTCATTTTCTTTGGAATATAAAGTAGCATTAAACTATGCAATATGTCAATGGATGAAATAATCTCTAGTTTAATCAGAGAACTGGGCAAACATCTGAACTGTCTATTCATGAGTTATCACGTCGTTTCGGCGATGTCAGTTTTCGATGATCTTGTGTTCGATGATGAGGTACACAACCTCTTTTACTACTGAATTTGCGTTCGATAAGATCTCGTTTATACAAAATATAATCCAGATCAAACGAATGGGAAAATATATCTCACAAGAGATTTCTCAACTGCAAAATCTCTTTTGAGTTCGGACTTTATGCATAAGATAGATCCCAGTGAGATATGGAAAATCCCAAAAGATTAAATGTCCTTAGGTCTTCTATCCAGAGTTATAGGCATTTTACTGAAATTTTAGCCTATAGCATGGCATATACGAACAAATCGAATAATGGTATTTCGATCTGATATTCTGCCTACAGACATGTCTATTTATGAGTAGAATGTCCTGAAAATTTCAGTTCAAAAGAACGTTTCCTTCCCGAGATAGTAAAGTCCCAGAAAACAGAAAATCCTAGCATCGTTTGTCGTATATGAGTCATTTTTGACACTTTAATATCTTGGGAAGGAAATGTCCTTTTGAACTGAAATTTTCAGGACATTCTACTCATAAATAGACATGTCTGTGGGCAGAATATCAGATCGAAATACCATTATTCGATTTGTTCGTATATGCCATGCTATAGGCTAAAATTTCAGTAAAATGCCTATAACTCTGGATAGAAGACCTAAGGACATTTAATCTTTTGGGATTTTTCATATCTCACTGGGATCTATCTTATGCATAAAGTCCGAACTCAAAAGGGATTTGGCAGTTGAAAATGTTTCCTCATCAGTAATATTCAAGAATGATCGAATATAAAAGAATCTTGAACTGATTCATCTTTATATGTTCTTTTGTTATTAGAAAGCTTTTTTAACGAGAAAAGATGCACTAACGTTACAGAAATAAGCATTGGTAATCAGTTGCTTACAAGCGTCTGGTGTGTCAATTAATTAGTAGGTTCATCTATGTCGTTTCTCTTGTCTGAACTATTCTTTGCAGTGGAGACAGTTTTGTACAATAGTACTTTCAAGGAGTTTTCTCATTTGTTTGTTTAAAGTAATATGCTTAGCTTGATTGACTGTCGTAGTCACTCATGATGTCGATGCTGACAATGTCGCTATGGACACTCCAGCAGACATGGGTATAGACATGTTAGCTGTTGGTAGCAATATGAAATTGTCCGACTGCGATTATCTTATAGAAAAATACCTGTTCTAGTTGATTTCGATTCATCCTGCAGCAATATTTCATTAGGTGTGAAAATTTTTTAACGATGACGTGCACAAGAAAGTTTAGATGGATTCTATTAAGTATAATCTTCAAAAGTTGATATCTTAATGTTTGTGATATGGGTTATGGTAGTGTACTTATTTGCATGATCGGTGTAAAATTCTTGTATATGGTAACCTGCATTTGTTGGAACAGCTGTTCATTTCAATTAGAGATGTGCAGTTCACAAGTTTTGACCTACAAAGTCAAGCGGTGATGAGCGTGTGCAGAGAAAAGTTTTTACAGCTGCTCGGAGTCGGTGGAATATGGGTATTGTTCGACATAGGGATAATTTGTGGAGAGTGAGACTGCAAATAAAAAAGACGCGGAGTGCAAACGGACGAGGATAGATGTATATGGGTTTAGATTCGTAGAAAAGTTTTTCGAGATGCGATCAATATCCGTCAAAAATGATGGATGTGTGTCGTCATTCTACATATGTAGTAAGAAGTATATATTGATTGGCTCACTATCTTTAGTCTATTCGTTACAAGCTCATTTGCTCTTTGTTTCTTCTTTTCTGATCTACTGTTTGATGCTTCGCTTGGAAGTCACTGGTCTTATAGTCGTTTTTTGTGTACTCAAAAAGTGAGTACACTCTAGAATCTGTCAGTGTGTCCGTCCGACCGTTTACACGATACCTTTTAAAAGAAGAGTCCGATCGCGATGAAATTTTCTACACAGTTTAGTCCCAACAATATCTCGGTCGAGTTCGAAGACGAGAAAGATTGGCCGAGCCGTTCCTGAGTTATTGCAAAAATAGTCATTATTCCCTATGCTTTCCTATGCAAAAATCGACCTATCCCTGCTTCCGTAAAAAACTTTTCCTATCATAGTCAAATAAAACCTCAATTATTATATACCATTCGATAGAGAATTTTACGAGCTACAAAATGGTATATAAAACATAAAGAAACAAGACGCCTAACTCACCTATTGCAAAGATAATTAAACGAAAATTGGTTTTGTTTTTGTCCACACTCTAATTGATCCACAATTAGAGTTCTATCTTCCGATCACAGAGATGATACTTCGAGGTTTTCTAGGGCGGAGGACTCGAATCTGTACTTCACTTGTCTCGAAATCCTATTGGTTGAGCAGCAACCAATAGAAATCAAGTGTTTATAGAAAAGGTTTGCCAAGATAATTTTTATGTCCACACATTCTAGGATGACTCATCTCCCAGCCAGCCTTTCGAGGGGTATTTCGACGGCTCGATTTTGCACTGTCGATGTCTCCCAAGATACCCATCGCCGAGCCC